GAAATCGTGAGAACATCACAGTTACACACATTAAAAAAACAGATTTCTTATGACAAAACGCGCATACCAAAAGCTCTTAGCCAAACATCAACAATAAAATAGATGCAATATATTAAGAGTTTGTAAATCCCAAAGAATTTTGACTTGGTCATAGAAGACTTGATAAATAAGCTACATAGGTGGAATAGAATCAAAATTAATAATATAAATATGATGTCTTAAAAGTATTTTATATTAAAATATTAAAAATATTATATTATTGTATTTTATCATCTTCTCAATTCCTTTCCTCTGTATAACAAAGACTTATTAGAATTCCCATCTTGTCCAATATGCAAATACTGATCGTAGCGCACTCTGCATAAAATATTTTCACAAAAAACAAAAAATATAAACCACAAATCTGGCAACTTTGTCGTGCAAAGTTTATTTTACTGCAAAAAAAAAAAAAAATAATAAAGAAAAATGTAAAAATTACGCGTAAAATGTAAAGTGGAATTAACAGTATTGACAGCAACAAAATTTGCAACGATACCGATGAGCAGCAATCAACGTTGTTGCTGTTAAAGTGCTGCATATTTAGCAGCAACATCCAGCCACAAATGAGATAAAAATAATTATTGATGGTAGTAGAGTGCAACAGTTAAGACAAAATGTTAAATGATTCAACATCAACACCTGATAGCCAAGACATTATGGCTTCAAGTAGTGAACCGATCGGTGCGCAACGCATTTTCCTCAAATCAAAATGAAAATATTGGCAGTTGGTGTTGTTGGCTATCTGGACGAACGGCAGTGGTTGGAAATGGTTGGCATTGGCTAGCAGCCACAAGACGCCAAGAAGTGCAATTGCAGCAACAACAGCAAAAACTGCACTAACTACAACGACCAGCGATGTTAGTTGGTTGAGCTGCGTTTATCGTTGCAATTTCATCTATGAAATTCTTATCTGAAGAAACATTTATGAATTTCAAACGCATTTAATTTTGTTTGCTGAAGTTGTTACCAGCAACTGTGGCAGCTGTTGCTATCTGTTGCCACTTTGCGTACGTCATACTGCAGCTGCTGCTGCTGTTGTTGATAAAAATGTTGATGCTGATGAAGTAGTTGTTAACATAACAAGTAACAATTCAAAAGCAGGGGTTATTATGATTTTAGGTTAAGTGCAGCAGTAACAGCAGCAATAGCAGCAATAGCAACATCACTGACAGCGATAGCAACATTAGAAATAGAAGAGGCAACATAAGTATTTACAGCAATTTGTTGTCATTTGTACGTTCCTGCAGCAATTGTTGTTACTGCTATTGCTAACTCTTGCTTTGTGAAGTATTTAGCATTGATTACACTTCAGAATGAGTAGAGCCGCATTGTCGGTGTTGGTGTGACGTTGCTATTGTGAAGCTGTAAAAACTTATTGGACCGAGCAACATGATCCATAGGTACTTAGAGACAAGCACTCATGTTACCATATTACCATGTCTGTTCCTAGATTATGCATAAATAATTGCTGTTAATTTGTAAAAAAATTGTATGTAATTTAATGTTAATTTGCTTAAATGTTATTTGCTGTTCTCTGCAACTTTTTTTAATAGTTTTGCGAAACATTAAGGAGAGTTTTGTGAAAATAACATTGATAAGAAAATTATATGCATTAGTGCCAAATACGTTAAATAATAATAGTTATTTATTTAATATTTCAAATATATACTTTTTGCAGATATTTTAATATTATTTTTATCTAATTACAATTGCTCAATTACTTTTTGTAGACGTTTTTCATTAAAATGAATTTTATTTGAAATATTTGCATTAAAAACGAAAAAAAACTGTATAACATTAAATATTTTTTAGCTTTTTGATTATGTTTTTAACTACATAAATTTTATTGCACAAAAATTAAGATTCGAGTGATGAAAATTGAAATTCAAAATTGCAAAACAGGAAGAAAGACTACATTGAAAATTTCAAAGAGACAGAGGTTAACGTATTTTAATTTCTCTGAAATAAACATAATTTTATAAATTCAAATTACTAAAAACGCCACACACTTAAAACCCTAGTTACATAAATTATTTGTTAATTTACTTTACTTTTTTCTAATATATATTTCACGATACCGTAGTAAGAAAAGGTAAACATCCTTTTTAATGTAGTATATAGTAGTTTAACACATAATGAGCGCAATAAAAAGTATATTGTACTATTAAAATTGAAAATTTTAGCTATATGGGTCATTCTTTTACAAATCGGAAACCTTTTTGACTTTATGTTCTCCGATTTGCCTGAAATTTTTATATGAGGTCCTTTTATAAAATAAATCTCGGAAAAAAATTTTGTGATTTTTTTCCTAG